TGCTCTCTTCAACAGAAGGAGTTGGCATTGTGAGAGTGATTTAATTTACATAAAGCAGCTAGGGCCTCATGATGGGGGTGCAGAAGTCACCCCTGTGCTTTCAGCTGAAGACATTTGCTTCCCGAGTACAGGGTCTGTCTCTTGATGTTCCTGCTAAGTTTACTCCTCTTCACTTGACAGCAAATAGGGCACTATGGTAGGAGATTTCTTTCAACTTCCTAGGCAGGTCTGTTGCTTTAGATTTAACTGAAGCTTCCTTGGAGGTCTGAGAGGGGATACTGGTGAGAGAAGGCTCAGTTGAGCGTTTCTGTTTTTTAAAAAGGACACTGATAGCAGAAAACGTCCCTATGTGTACTAGATGTGTTACCACAAGTGTGACAAGTGTGGTGAATGGCCCAGTCTCTCACCAATTAAGACTACGCTCTTAAAATTCTGTATGTTGTTTCTGCAGGCAGAGTAACTCTCCGAGACCTTAAAAGATGCCGAATGGCTCATGTGTTCTACAACACCTTCTTCAACCTAGAGAAATACCTGGACAACGAACAGCGGGATCCCTTTGCCGTGCAGAAGGTATCAAGCATCTGTGTTTCTAAACATGTCCTGGTCTCAATCTGTTCGTAGCCTGTTACATAGAGAAAAACAGGATAAATGCAGCAGATGGTAAAACTAAACTGACCCAAACACTGCAGCCTGTGCAGTAGGGAACAGTTTATATGGTGGGAATGAACAAAACCCACAGTGTTCAAAGGCCTGGTCACAGGCTGGGGCTGGCTTACAAGACCAGTGCAGAAAGCCACCTGTCTTGTGTCCAGCTGAGGAGGAAACTCGGAACTAACACATTAAGGTCTTGTAGACAGATGTGCTGGTTTTCTCTAATGCAGCTTTTACTGTCTCTGCTAGTAGACACCTCCTGCTAGTGGGGTATAGAAGGTGTCCTAGGCCCAGTTTAGGTTAGGTGTTGGCATAGGCCTGCCCTCCTGCTGGCTGGGAGACAGACCTCATGTCCAGATGTGCTCTGGAGCCTGCATCTAGCAGTTGGGGCTCAGGTGGGAGAGAAGCAGCTGAGGAGTCAGAGGGCTCAGTTATGTCTGCTGTCCCATTTCCTACTTCCGTCAGCTGCTGATGCGACTGCCCTCCCAGGGGACAGCTCTACTCAGCCATCCACTCCTACTTATGACAGGCTGGTGTGCCTGCAATAGACGGCAAAGGCCTTTTAGTTCCCCCTGCTCAGTGATGTCTCTGAAAGTTGTGGGCAGAACCTGCCAGGGACTGTGCACCTTGTGTAAACCATACAGGTGCAGGAAGCCCTTGCAGCAGAAGCATGCCTTGTATAAGCAACACAGGGTCGGCTAGGTGTGTTCAGGTCATTTGCAGCAGTGGAAGGACACTCTTTGTTCTGGTTCATTTTTTCCCCACTCTGAATTTCACAGGTGGAGTTCACGGTGTTTAGGTTTCAGATAATGTCTGCATGTTTTTTTTTAACATGCTTTATTTGAAAGTGACAAAAGCAAGCAGAACATCAGCATTTATAAAACTTTCTGAGGAAGAAAAGCAGAGAACATGGGCAAGAGGTTGCCTCAGAGCCACTTAGGTCACTGGCAGATGTTAAATTAAAGGTGCAATGGAATCTGATCCCAACAATCGTGGTTCCTGCCATGCCACACATGCATGGCAGGAGGTAGGATTGTGGGATCAAGTATCAGATCCCATCATGCCACAGTGCCAATTGAGGGGGACCCCAGGATCAGGTTTAATTAAAGGAACCAGCAGGGGAGTTGTTATGCATATTTTAGGTAGTTATTTTATGGCTTATTCCCCATTTTATCACATCATTTATTGAATGCATATGTAGCCAGATCACTACTTAACGTGTGATTAACTGGTTAATCACATCTTAAGTATAATGTCTGTCAGGGGCCTTAGTGATATCTACTTGTGGGTTGGTTGTTGGAGGTTATAGTTTTGTTGGCTTGGTAGAGTGAGACCAGCATAAGGTGCTTTGCAGATGGGAATGCCGGGACTTGGCTAAGCGATGTTTACCGTTTCAGAGCATCCCTTAGCCAGTAGGAGCCACAACCTTATAAACACAAAAGCAGAAGCTGCTCTTGAAGGAAGTTCTAAGAGGAAAGGCAGTCAGCTTTACAAGGAGAAGCTGGCGGCCTCCTTAAATGTGGAAAGCCTATTGCTTTTCCTTAATCAACCATACGTATGCACAGAGTTCAACAGTGCCTGGCCCTGAAGGCTGGGATGTGTGGGCCTCTGCCCTTTGAGGAAGCCCTGCCTTAGCTGTCACCAATAGAGGAACCCAGCTGTTCTGTCTGAGCTGCAGGCAGATAACTGAGGGTATTGGACTCTGCTCTCAGGAGGAGTGACAGCACAGTGACAGCAGGGCTTGGATTCCAACCAGACAGAAAAATCATTCAATAATAGTTTAAATACAATATATTTTCTTCAACTATCACCAGAGAATGCATGCTCTATGGAAGATGCAGAAGGGACAGTAATTGATACTCACTGCTATACCTACTAGCTGGCTGCAGCCTTCAGAAAGGTTACTGTCTGTCCTGAATCACCTACTAAGCTGCCAACATCAGTGAGGAGAAACAATTAAAACAGAGGGACCTAAGAAATACAGACAGGAAGTTACAAAGTGAGATTGACGATGGAAAACTGCTAAGTGGGGTGATAGATCTGAGGAAAATTGCCTTCCCTTCTCCTTTCCTTTTCCCTCCCTCTCCCACAAGTTGGCATTCATGGATGTAGAAGCCTGGAAAGCAGGCTTATTAGTAGTGAGGACCATGTAAGCTCAAGTGAGTTTCAGAGCCATCTGCAAAACTGAGACTGCAAAACTTAGAAAGCCAGTACAATGCTGAACGGTAGCCCAGGCACGGTAACTGCCTCTTTGTTATATAACTTCAATGCAAATGTCTGTTCTGGGCACCTCTCGACCAGTGAGAGTGTCTGATCGAGATTCCACTCATTCTGGACTAGTTCTTGCAGTGTATTTGTACAGCATGTAGCATAATACCTGAAGGCCGTGCACACACAGGATGAGGATGGATACCAGAGCGATCCAAGCCATCCTGCTTTGGTGCTGCTTAGGACCGTTCTCATAGGTTAATTGAAAACGCCACTTCATACATAGAGAGTATACTTCCCCTATGTACCATAGAGTGGTGGGGGGGAGGGGCAGGAATTTTTAAAGTTTGGTACAACCTGGAACCAAGGCATACAAAGAGATTGCCCTTCTCCTTGGAGCTCAACCTTTCTGAAAAGTCACTGCACAATTTATGGTCCAGCTCAGATCACTGTGTGTGTCCAAACCTTCTAGCCAGGTACTCGATTGTTTCTTTAAAGATCCCTGTTAGATTCATGATTAATCTGAGATCTTTGATTTAGTCCTTTGCTGTGAGGCATTTTGATACCTTAACAGTCTGTACCTGCAGATAAGTCTGTACCTGCAGATGGACATTCCCATCTAATTTGTTTGTCTGACTGATATTTTCAGGACATTGAAAATGATGGCCCCGAACCCTCTGATTGGGACAGATATGCTGCTGAAGAGTATGAAATTCTTGTTGCTGAAGAATCTGGAAACGAGCAGTTACAAGAAGGGTAGGAGCTGTCATTTACTTAAGCATCTGTGTGATAATCTCACAAATTTTGTAAGAGGAAAAAGAATGTTAGAGTGGCAAAAAGTGTCAGAAGTCCATTAATGAAGTTCAGCATGCTGCTACTGGGCATAGGTGGTCCAGAGTTCTTTAGATAAAGAGCCAAGAAATTTAAAATATGGGAAAAACGACAATACCCACCCAGAGTAAAAATGAAAGATGATGAATCTACCCTTAGAGAATTTGCAACACAAGTCTCCTAGGATTTCCCAATGACCTAGATACCTGCTGTGTAAGGTATCTTAGACCTACAATCAAGGAACTGCTCAAGGAGGAGGTGACTCGTGGGTTATAACATCAGAAGCTAGCACTGTGACTGTCTAGCTCTACCCCCTATGTATCATAGGCCATAGGACTCCGCTGACTTAATTCCTGGTTGAACTAGAGCATAACACCTAGGAGGGCATTCAGTCTCAATGCCAACATTTCCACTGAATTAAACATGGTAGCATACTTAGTGAGGCATTCCAATGGTTAATTACTGTTACAAATGCATATCTTGGGTCTAGCATCAACTTCTCCAGGCACTGGGTCTTGTTGCGTCTTGTTTTGCTTTCTTAGAAAGGCCTCTGTCATCAACTTTCCATTCTGTGCCAGTCCTTAAACTGTGCACTCATCACCCCTGGCCATATCTGTGACATGCCAAGCCTCTTACTGAAGGAAGTTTGCTGATGCTTTAATCATTGCTATGGTTCTTCTCTGAACCTTCTCTCACAGTTCACCTTCAGTTGCAAACACCAGAGCCGGATACAACATTCCAGTAGTGACCATACTAGTGTGAAATACAGAGGTAACAGATCTTCTGGAGTCTTATTCAGATCATTCCTTTTTAACATTCCCTAGGATCACGTGAGCCCTTTTGGTCTTAGTGTTATATTGGGAGCTCATATTCAACTGCTTAAATACCCTGGATCCTCCTTTTCAGTCACTGCTGCCCAGAAGAGTCCCCCATGCTGTAAATACGGCCTACTTCCATATGTATGACTTACACTTGCTCAAGCCTGATGAAGAATGTGTTGCATTTGAAAACTTGTCTGATTCTATCTCAACTCTGCAGTTGGTCCAATAAAAGGTCCCACCCTAAGCAATCCTTACCTCTTGCATTTGCCAATATAGAAACACACTGATTGTGCTTAGTTTACCAAACAACCCAGATTTCTTTTTAACTCATCTTTTGAATTATCCAGCACTTCGCCCTTCACTGGGTCACCTCTAAACCATCCCAAAACAATTCTTCTGAGTTTTCTTCTGGGTCACTGATAAAAATATTAAACAGTTTAAATCAGAGAACTGATCCCTGTGGGACTCTCATAGAAACATCCACTCGGTGTTCATTCCCTGCTTACAATCACAGTTTGTAGCCTGATAGCCAGTTTTTAATGAGTGAGATATGTAGTATGTTGGTTTTGTATCCTGCTCATTTCTTAATAGAGAACAATCTTCACTGAAGGTTTTATCAATAGGATAGACAAACACCTGGCCAGGCATGGTCTGCTTATCCTGCCTCAGATGAGGGGATCAAGTAAATGACCCCTTGAAGTTTCCCTGAGCAGGTCCAAGAAAGTCAAGGGCCAGATTCTTTTCCACCCATTTGGCATCCAAGGGCAAAATTCTGTTTTGCTGCTAAGTGGCTTGTTTGCAGCTTTTGGCCATCTAAGCCATGGAACAACATTTGGATTCCCCCATGTAACAGCCTGCATTCCAGTAGGATGCCTAAAATTCTTGCATATCTATATTCTGACCCTGTGCAGAAGCTTGCTCTGTTCTGCACTCAGAAGTGATTCAGCACACCCTTGGAAGCACCTCACTCTATTTATGCTCTTCTGAGTCAGTTCAGGCATGGATGCGCAAAAGCGTCGTGCAAAACCTTCAAGTTGCAGACACCTAAAAACCCACCTGTTTGCTGCATGTTGCACTATGCAGTCACTAGAAACATGGCATCAGCAGCACTGGGGCACAGTGTAGACTTCTTCACATGGTACTCTGCTGCCTTTCAGTGGGGCTGGAATACACAGACATGCATGTAGCATTTGGAAATCCTTCCAGTGGGCGTCCTTGTTACGAAAAGCCTGTTGGAAGGCATGACTCAGAATCCTGCACAGGAAGGAGTGTGTGGCTAGGGTGGAAGGAGGAAAAACCTGGTAGACTGATGGTAGTAACCCTCAGCATTGCAGTTCTTTCCTTCTAGAAAAACAGCCTACATGTGTACAGTAATCAGCTTTTTCCACCCCTCTATCACTATCATCACTCCACGTATCACTAACCATTCTGATTCTCTTCACTGCCAAATCCTTTCTGAAATCACACTTCCCCCCTTGTACCAACATATCCATATTGGACAGGAGGGCAGACTGGGCCTACTAGCAATGAGCGATTCATTCATTTTTGGAGCACTGTGTGCACTTAGAGCCAGTATCCCCTCCTGTTTACATTGCCACAACTTGTCCTTGCTACTGAAATGTAGTCCAGAATAGTGCCATGACATACCATAGCATTTAGGAAGTGTTGAGTGCCTAAATAGCTTTGGTAGCAGAAGCCAGGACAATACCCCGTTTCCTGCATCAGAGTTAGGCTTCCTCTTGCTTGCTCTCTGCCTGGTCTCATGATTCTTTGCCTGTGATTGAGGGGTGGCACTGGGAACCCAGGTGTCCCATGTCCTGGATAAGTGGCCTGATGAGGTGAGGAGGCAGCTGCAGTCATAGATGTGTGCTTGTTTGGGTGGATAGTCCTGCTAAGATAGTTGTCTTACATGGTCAGGGAAAAGCGGAGTTCCAGCCAGACAGGCTGAAATGTTTCCTCTGAGTTTTCATTCTTTACAAAGTTCTCGCTTCCTTATTTGTGCAGTAATGATGGTAACTATACAGTGACCTTCATTAATCTAAAAATAGTATTTGTTAGATTTTTACAACTCAAGTAAATCAGTAGAGAATGTTTCATTTTGAAAATATGTTTGTTCTGTCTCTGCAGATCATTTGAAGAGGACTATGAAACAGATGAACTTCTATTGCCCTCTGAAACTGGAGACAAGTTGGAAAAATTAGTTATCTCAGACCTTTCACCATAGGAAAATGGAAGATGTAACCTGTGTCTGTCTGTCAATATTTAAATGGAGAGTGGTCAGTCCTTAGACACATAGGGATTTTAAAAAAAAAAAATCCTTCTCTTTGAAGCAATGCATTTTATTTTGTACACTGTACTTCAAGATCCCTGTTTCTCCTTCATGTATAACTGCCATAAGGTTATTTCTATAAAGAGGCTTTTTGCAATGTGTTATTGTGCACGCTCATTAAATATGGTGACTGCACTTTGTTTCCTTTATGACTTACCATACAGTCTATAAGGGCCTCCCATGTGCAATAACCGTCCAGCAGAACAGCTGCATACACAATGGTCACAAGTCATTACCAGCATAGTTTACTACAGCTCCATGCTGTACCCGTTATTCTGTACCCTGTTACTTTACCAGAAGTGACAGGGACACAAGCACTGCCAACTGAAGCTGGTTTGAATGAACATCTAAAATGTTCCTTTAATCCTTGTTCAAGGTGCAAGTAGTTCTGTTGGGGTTTTTTTTGGCTTGTTTTATTCAAATAGTGTCAAAATCTGTTAATTCTGGAAACTGAGACTATAGAGATCAAGGCAACTTCTTGTGCTGTGCACTGCACGTCAGAGACCCAGATCAAAGACTCTTCATTGTTAAACATTTTTCTCATCGTGCAGGATTCTCCAGAGCTATCAGACTACTTCAACCCTCAGGCAAAAAAAATGCATTATGGTGGAGTTAAATATAAACACCTCTGCACTTTCTCCAACGCCAGGGTCAAATATCAACAAGGCCAGGATACAGTTCTTGAAGCTGTTCTCCAATGTGATGTCCACAAAAAAACCTGCACTACAGGTGCCACTTTCTGTGCTACGCCGTGTCATCTTCCTCACGCTGTTCTCATCTGTCACATGCACCTATCGTCTACACGGAGATGGTGAACTGCTCAGCGCGCTATCTCTATGGTACCTACCATAATGAGCACCGCTGTAGTACAACTGGTAGGTAATAGATCAAGAGCAAATATGGGTTAGCTGGGTAAACACACTGCAGGGTGTTCTAATCATCCCAAAGGCAAACAAACTGAAGAAATTCTGAGTAAAGGTTATAGTTGAAGCAAATCCTCAGTATGGTGTGAAGGGGATAGTGGAGAGGGGCCAGGAGGGCTGTGGCATGATGGGGACAGGTCTGTGCAGGCTTAGCAGAGATGGCATTGGCTTCTATTTATCCCAAAGTATCCTTGGAATGGACAGCAGTCCTTTAGGCTGCCAGAAGGTAGAAAGGAACTTGTGTTTGATCTCTGCAAGGGGCAGCATGGAGCTACAGTCCAGCTGGTAACAAGATGAAGTGGTGGCCATTTTGAAAGACAGTAATTCTTATTTCTCTGAAGAACGGTATTCATTCATTAGTCCCTGCAGACTAGAAACTTCCAGTTGTGAAGAAATAAGTGAAGAAATGTACAATTAAGCCCAAATATTTGCTTCCAAAAAATAAACCATCTGTATGGGAGTAGGACAAGGCTAGGTTTTGTATAGACAAGCAATGTTCATGCAGAGACAAACAAGAACACAAAAAGCGCCCCCAACATAGGGTGCTAGGTTTATTAATGAAGGGATCTTTTACCTTTAATGAAGGGATTTACTTGCAAAACTTCTGGAAATACGTTCTGTCCTCGGGAAGAAGATGCTGTAATTCCGATGCATGTCACTGTTCACACAAAGAGAATTCCTGCTTGATTCAACTCATCCTTCACAAAGGCATCTTAAGCAATGACTCTCCAAGTAGATGACAACACGCATGGTCTGAGCTAACAAGCCTATCCAGCCACTGGCATGGAGATTGTCCCTCTAAAGTGAAGGTAGAATAGTAGTGTACTGATTCTCCAGTGCATTGGTTTATGGATAAGGAAAACCCCCATCTAAAGGGGTCCAGAGATACATGGACCTAAACTACCGCAAACTGGGGGAGTTAAGTTAGCTGAACAAACTGCTAAACTGTAGGTATAATTCTCCACATGCCATATATCACATAATTACTATCATAATAATTGGCATAGCTATGGACTACTTCTGGAAGTCCACTTTAGTAAGAACATGAGGTAAGTAAGCCTTAGACCATCCTTGCATGGTAGGGACCATCCCTATATCACCACCACTTCTGGTCAGATTATTTTGTTCAGGGCCCTAACCTAAGAGACATGGTATCGAAGGCCAAATTAAAAAGCCAGGTGTAGCAGCTCAGTGTTCACAACTGTTCTTGTTACTTGAAGATACACAATGGTTACTTTGAGATCACCATTTCCTTCACATATTCCTTCCCTTTGTAAGGGGAAGGGCGCGATTCAAGCTGAAAAACATTTTTAAAACCATAAATGAAAGAAAAAAAAAACAATGGCGTGTTTATGAAATGACAACTATGTTGGACGGGATGAAGAACTTTTCCACAAACCTTTCCTATTACAATGTTGTTCAATATTCTTTTTGAGAATTGACATTAGCTATTGATTGGCCCTGTAGTTGCTTCCATAGTTTCATAGTTAGTAGGGTCGGAAGGGACCTGAGCAGAACATCGAGTCCGACCCCCTGCCATGGCAGGAAAGAGTACTGGGGTCAAACGACCCTAGCAAGGTGTTCATCCAACCTCCTCTTAAAAACCCCCAGGGTAGGAGCC